CAGTGGTTCCGAATCCTTCCATGAATTTTGACGCTATGAGTGATAATATCTCGTCGGTTTCCCAGCACCGTTTGCCATACGTGAATCACCAAGGCAACGGGGTGCTACCCCTTGCTCCCCCTCCATCTCATTTTGTCGTTAATCGAGACCACACCCACCACTCCTCCCACCCTCCCCCTCCCTATCAGTCATATTATCAACCTCACGTCCTAGACTTACATGTCATTGACGAAGACGTTCTCACATTAGACGAAAACGACTGTGCATCTCAGTTTCATTCAGTGCCACACCCCTCGCCCCGCCCATCCCCACATCGGGTAATCCCCCACTTATCCCCAAGTCCTGATCAAATTCCTAACATTCCTCTGGCAATGCTACAGCACGATAATATCTCCGAGCACACCTGTACGACTATTTCAATGACAACGTTTATTGAGCCATTGCCGCCAGAGTATATGTCATCGCCTGCTAACTCTCCAACTCTTGAGGGAGAGGATGGGGAGGAGGAGGAAGAGAGGGAAGGGAACAGAGGAGAGGTACCCATTGTACAGTCGTATTACGATTGCCCGCCTCCTCCCTCTCCTGTCACTGAACTGTCAATAAACCTTGGATAATGGCTTTAACCTGTGTTCTGTTTCTCTCCCTCTCTTTCTTTTTTCTTTGTTATTCACTTAATCATGAGAGATAAAGGCACCTGTATGTTCTTTATTTCTGCTACCCATGATGGCATTTTCTTATTTCTCTTTCTTTGACTCTCAGTTCATATCATCAACTGCCTCTATCTCTTTCTCTCTGTGTGTGTATGTGTGACAGTATCACGTATCCTTTACACATCAGTCATGCAATTTAAAATGATCTCCATTTTATTATGGGCGTGGTGGTTAAATAAAATATGAATATACAGAGATATACGGAGCAATGGTGTTTCTGACTAGATTGCTGTGCCAACGTCCCAAGGGAGCGGATTTTGGTTTGTATGCTGGAGTGGATATAATGAGAGGTATCAAGGTCACCTTCTCAAATAAAAAGTAGCAAAGTTTTTTTTATGAATTTTTATTGCATTTTCTGATACATATTGATGTCCTTATGCTATGTAGAAAGTTTGAGCTGATTCTGACTTCAATTTTTCAAGTTATGGCCATTTTAAGAAAACATCAAAAATCTGAAAAAAATCCCTGTACTATTATAAAGCCCATGGTTTTTTTCAAAAAATGGCTCCAAAATCACCCCAAATTTTTATTACATTTTCTGATACATATTGATGTACTTATGCTATGTAGAAAGTTTGAGCTGATTCTGACTTCAATTTTTCAAGTTACGGCCATTTTAAGAAAACGTCAAAAATCTGAAAAATACCCAAGGCTATAGCCCATGGTTTTTTCAAAAAATGGCTCCGAAATCACCCCAAATTTTTATTACATTTTCTGATACATATTGATGTACTTATGCTATGTAGAAAGTTTGAGCTGATTCTGACTTCAATTTTTCAAGTTACGGCCATTTTAAGAAAACGTCAAAAATCTGAAAAATACCCAAGGCTATAGCCCATGGTTTTTTCCAAAAAATGGCTCCAAAATCACATCAAATTTTTATTACATTTTTTGATACATATTGATGCCCCTATGCTGTGTAGAAAGTTTGAGCTGATTCCGACTTAAATTTTTCAAGTTACGGCCATTTTAAGAAAACACCAAAATTCTGAAAAATACCCAAGGCTATAGCCCATGGTTTTTTCCAAAAAATGGCTCCGAAATCACCCCAAATTTTTATTACATTTTCTGATAGATATTGATGTCCTTATGCTATGTAGCAAGTTTGAGGTGATTCCGACTTAAATTTTTCAAGTTACGGCCATTTTAAGAAAACATCAAAATTCTGAAAAATACCCAAGGCTATAGCCCATGATTTTTTTCAGAAAAAGGCTCCAAAATTACCCCAAATTTTTATTATATTTTACTTATTATTATTACCTCAGACTTTAAGAAGGCTCTTATGATGCTGTTGGCTCTACTGATTGTTATCAGTGACGTCAATAACGTTGAGACTGAGTGCTTGCCAGGCCCTGGTTCACTGGACTAGATCATGTGACTATCATGAGACTATTAATCGCTATATACATGAACATACCAGTCTCATGTGGAGTGCATTAATTAGAGATACAATAGGAGAAAGGTTCTTGTCTTTAAACGTCCTGTCTATATTTAAAACATAGACTTTGCCTATCCCACTAGCCATGCCTCCTTCCATAGCCACGCCTCCTTCGGCACCTTTTGGATAAAGATTAGGATAAGCAGTCATTAATATAGGTGTGGCTCTTAGTTGGCATGGCAACGAGATTAACGAACTGACTGCAGCTTGAGGAATATTAATTATCACCTCTGCAACGTGACTAAAAAAGAGGTGTGGTCAATACAAATGGGTGTGGTCAATATCTTACGTTATTAATTGTAATGAAAGTGAGCTCAATTGGGGCGGGATGGACACTAATATTATACTAATTAAATATCCTAATCTCTTCATTGCAGCTGCTGCCTCCTATAAAATGAACCAAAAATACATGTACATGTATTTTATTAAATTATTAATTTTAGGTACATTGGTGGTCTGACTCTGCTACTGTACGTAATTTTAAAATTTTTCCTTAACAACGAATGATGTCGCTAATTAATGCGTCATTTGAATTTAGCAAGCAGATGCTACTGGAGACAGATAGACCAAGGCTGGTAATTGTTATTTAAATTCCACACATTCCTTTACACATGTATACATGTCTGCATATTCTTAATATTATTATTATTATTATTATTATTATTATTATTATTATTATTATTATTATTACTATAAGCCATAATTATATGGTAATTTAAACTAGTGCAGTAATAATAACAATATAGTGCAGCTGCTAATGAAGGGCTCACCTCAGTATCAGGTGTCCAATTTAGCGTTTGATTAAAAACTATTTTTAAACACTCGCTAATCATGTACATGTCTTGATCACTAACTGGACAGGGTAGCTTAACTCCGCCTACTTCTCCAAGTGGGTCTAAAGTTTCTTCTTGAGTTGGTCGGTCAATTGTTTGTGAAATAACGTTAACAATGAGAGAGACGCCATTGTGTCTGTCCCTAAATATCGTCCTATTAATTATACCATGAAATTAAGCAAGTCTCACGTTCGTTTATGACTA